CTAATTTCCCCCCTCTTCAGGACTTCACAAATGCTAATATGCACAGTAAACTTATTCCTGGGGATCTTATTCAAATACAGCTTCTGACTCAGCAGGTCTAGGGTGGAGCCTGAGTCTCTGCACCTCTAAGAAGCTCCCAGGTGATGGCGATGCTGCTGATGCTGCTGGTCCATGGACCACACTCTGAGTAGTAAGGTCCTACTCATCCCAGGCAACAGCTCCACTGCTTGTTAGTAATGGCAGTCTTAAGGGATTTCAATTACTGTAGGATTATTCTCTTTCCTGGTAACAACCCAGGCAATTTCTTCCAAATCAATGGTTTTCAATTAGGGGCATTTGTGCCCCCAAAGGACATCGGGCAATGTCTGGAGACATGTTTGGTTGTCACAACTGGAGGGGAGAGGATCCTACTGGCATCTACGGGTAAAGGCCAGAGCTGCCATTACACATCTTGCAACTCACACAACAGCCCCCACAATGAAGAATTATCTGATCCCAAATGTCAATACTGTGATGGTTGAAAAACCCTGTTCTAAATAAACAGGAAATATGAATCAAGTCCTCTCAATTCACCCCTAGACTACAAATCCCGATTTTAGAAGTTGGGTCATCCATCTAACATTGTCCTTTCTCAGCCTAGATCCAAGGCATGGGAAGAAAGAACAAGATTCCACATGTGGGGAAGGGGTCACCAGACCATAGCCTATTTTGTGGAAAATCAAGCATATGTGGTTCAGTGAGCCAGTAGGTGATCTATTAAGCATTAAACTTTCTACCATTTTGAAGTACAGCAATTGAATAGGACCACAGCTCTATGTAATCAAAAGACCTACAGCTTAAACCATAAGCTTCCAGAAGCCCAGAAAGATCAGGCTGGGTACCACCAGACTCTTGCCCAATATCTGAAACATCACTGGAATTGCACAGCCCAGGACTGCTAATACACTTAAGAAACCCCCTACTGAAACTTGGACAGCAGCCTTGAAATAATGATAATAATAAGCAGCTAAAAACTCAACCTTACATCTGATCGTGTGAGGCTGCGATTGAAACATCAGGGTTAACGGACACCTGGTGACCCGTAAGTATGGCAGTAACTCATCACAGAGCTTTTGACTTGCTAGGAGAATAAGCATTCCCGAACTGGGTCAGATTCCTGGTTCAGGTGGCATTGCCCACAGCAACCCCACGGGGCAGGACCTGGAAGGGTGCAAATCCTCCGTCTGACCTCAGTGTCAAAGCCAAGGCATTTCCCAAGTTTCTCTCAGTAGACACTCCCAACTCTGTCATTCATAAATTTGCCCAGACCCTTCTTAAATTGCATTTATATATCCTGCCAGGACCACCTCTTGAGATAATGAGTTTTAAAAGATTATTCCTTGCTGTGTTAAGCAGCACTTCCTTTCATTGGTTGCAACAAGAAAAAGAAGAATTAGGAGTGAAACAGCAGAGAGGCTAATGTTGCTTTCATCAAGGGATGATCTTGTGTGTGGAAAGTGGAAATATTCAAAAGCCTAGAACTACAAGGCATTTACACAGCAACCAAGAACTCAAGAACTTTAATGAATTCAAGGGTTTTGGTTGATGAAAGTCACTCAACATGTGTTTACGAAAAACAGGACTGGACAAAGGGATAATTTCTGTTAGAGTCACCTAAGTAGAAAATAGCTCAAATGACATGGAGTCCAACAATGTTTTCACTCACAAAACCCTGAGTTGATTGCAAATATGCGGGGATTGGAGGTAGCAAAAAACAGGAAAATCTACCAGGAGACACTGAAATGAATACCATGGCTTTCTGCACAGAGAGGCCACGGAACCGCCAGGAAAAGGCACTAGCAATCCTCAGTGGGCATGAAGATCGCACCCATTGCCTGAGCTACATTAAGTATCTCAGTCAGGATTAGTCCCATTGACTGCAAACATTCTAACTGCAATATGGTTCCCTGGATTGACTCCTGGAACAGAAAAGGGACGAGTGAGGAAACTGGTGAGACCCAAATAAAGTCTGAAGTTTAATTAATAGTAATGTACCAATACTAATCTTTGTTTTGACAAATGTGGAATAGTTATGTAAAATGTTGACATTAGGGGAAACTGGGAGAAGGGTATCAAAGAATTCAGTACTATCTTTGCAACTTTTCCATAAATCTAATATTATTCCAAAGTAAAAGGTTTATTAAAGTTAAAAGAAAGTTTTTTAAAGCAAACATATTTCATGACTCTTCACAGCCACTGTACTGGGAATTGGGAGTCAATAAAAACCATTAAGAACTTTAAGAATCAGGATTCAGGGCAAAGGAAATAAAACGACATTTTTCCAAAGAAGACGTACAAAAGGCCAACAAGTACACAAAAAGGTGCTCAACATCACTAATCATCAGGGAATGCAAGTCAAAACCACAATGAGGCATCAGTTCACACCTGTTAGGATGGCTATTATCAAAAAGACAAGAGATAAGTGCTGGCGAGGATGTAGAGAAAAGGGAATCCTTGTGCACCACTGATGGGAAAGTAAATTGATACTGCCACTATGGAACACAGTATGGAGGTTCCTCAAAAAACTAAAAATAGAACTACCATATGATCCAGCAATCCCTCTTCTGGTTACATACCTAAAGAAAATGAAATTCGTACCTGCAAGAGATACCTGTGCTATGTTCATGGCAGAATTATTCACAATAGCCAAGATATGGAAATCACCTAAGTGTCCATCAATGGACGAAGGGATAGAGAAGTTGTAGTGTATATATACACATACAATGGAATATTATTCAGTCTTAAAAAAGAAGGAAATCCTGACATTTGCAAAAACACAGATGAATCTGGAGCACATTATACTAAGTGAAATAAGACAGGCACAGAAAGAAAAAACTGTATGACCTCACTTATATGTGGAATCTAAAAAAGTTGAATAGGAGCAGAGAGTAAAATGGTGGTTACCAGGGGCAGGGAGGTGGGGGAGATGAGGAGAACTTGGTCAAAGGGTATAAACTTGGAGTTATATAGGATGAATAAGTCTAGAAATCTAATTTACAGCATGATGACTATAGTTAATAATACTGTATTGAATACTGGAAATTTGCTAAGAGAGTAGATTTCAGGTGCTCTTACCATACACACAAAAAAATAACGTAAGGAGATAGATATGTTAATTAGCTTGACTATAGTAATAATTTCACTATGTACATGTATATCAAATCATCATGTCATACATCTTAAATTATACATAATTTTTATTTTTAAAAATAAATTTTAAAAAAACGAATCAGGATTCAGTTGGGTAAGTAGAATTCCCTGATATGAATTGGGGCAGGGAGGTATGTGTTAAATATAAGGAAGAACTAAGTGGATATTTATTAGGATATGGAAAAATTAAGCAGATAGCCCTGGAAGGCATGGTGAGTCAAGTACAGAGGCTCTAAGTGTGAAGATGAGCAAGACCATAGTGATCCATCACAAAGTCATGTCATCCCAAAGATAACCATGAACTTCCCAAAGAAGGGCCTCATGAGGGACAGCATGGGCCATATTCTACACTGACATGTATCCTCAATGGCACTATATAATTTAAAGAACAGTCGTTACACTTGCAAGCCCAATAAGCCTAAAATCTATAAACAGCCTGAAAGGAAAAGACTAGAACAAAATCAGAATTCTGACACAACACCAAAAACAACGTCAAGGTTTACTAAAACACAAAATAAAGTTACTCAGGTAATTATATCACCATTCATTGACTTACTTGAGTGGAGATATGTTGTTAGACATAATCAGCAAGGGCATGCATGAAAAAATTAACTGCTTATTCAAGACGATTACAGAGATAAAGAGGCAAGGCAAGAAAAAATTAAGTATTTGAATAGCATCTAAAAGAAATTGTATCAAATCTTTCCAAAAGCATAAAAGACTGCAATGAAAATATATTGCTGATTAAAAGCTCTGAACCTTGGAGATTTGGGGGGTGATGGCTAAAGATCAGAAAAATAAAGCAATGTGGCTACCAGAAGAAAAAAAAAGTTGCCAAGACAGATTTATAGAAATACGGCCTACTTAAATGTTTTGGCAAGAGGTTACAGAAACCATCAAAATGGCTTTCAACTGGACAATCGTGGATCTTAACCCAACTCACACATTCCAGCTGAAGGTCCAAGAGGTCATAATTACAAATATGGCTCCAACTAGAAGCCTGGTTTTGACACCTAGAAATGGGTTCCACTTCCCCACCTCCCCCCATCACCAAACATAAAACACACAAACAGGCCAATTGCTTTCCTACTGGCTCTAATCTACGCTAATCATCGGGTCAGGTCATTAGATCACGTTCAATAAACAACACATCCAAGAATAAAAAACGTTTACAAAAATAACCAATTTGTTAAAAAAAAAAAAAAAAAAGCAAGCATTTTGGTTTTGTTGCTAATAAATCAAGTGTCTGTTTTTAATGAATTTAGTTTGCACTAATTGATTACAAAGTGATGTATAAAGGAATCCACTGTGCCTATACCTTATAGGTTTCACACGTTTGTGAGCAAAGACAAATATTTTAGAAGGAACTGAACGAACCCAGAAAGGAATTTATGGTTTAATGCAGGCTTGGTCATAAGTAGAGCAACCTGGACACTTTGTCTAATCTCCAAGTCTTTTTCTTAATCTGTGAATGAAATACCTAGGTCCACTTTTCCTCTGGGAAGAAACTCTGTGAAACCAAGGGACAATCTTCAAACTCCATCAATCTGTACCTCTTAACTTCCCGAGGGATGATATTCTAAAGGCCACATAAACAGAGTTTGATGAATGACCCAGTTCTATGCAAACGATTTTAAAGTAGAATTATTACTCAAAGACAGCTGCATCATTAGCCTTTTCTATTCCCGTAGATAATTAAAGCCCTTATTTATATAATTTATGCGAGTTTCTGTAGGCCAGAATAATTTCAGATCATTCCTACATGTTTCTTAATCCCAAAACAAGAATTTAAGGAATGGGGTTCTACTTACAGTTACGAATGCTATTCCAGTCGATTCTAGAGAAGAAAGGATGGCAGCAAAGGCCTTCAAACTTCAGTCTCTCTTTCTGGCCACACAACAAACTCTGAATCAGATCAAGTAATTCACTGCTAACTTTGGGGTCATCTGGAAACTTCAAAAACCGCTATTCCAAAAAATAAAATAATCATTTCCTTAGTAAATTCAGCTTCTCATGTCCCAAAGTTAAGAAAGTATTTCCCATATATGCAAGTTTCTTTTCTTTTTAAAGAAGGAAGTTTTGTGCCCTCTTAACTTTGGACCAAAGGCATGTTCCCAAAATAAATGTCCTGTTCACATGAATAGGCCTAGTTCCTTTGCAAGGGTTCGATATTCTTCACGACTTGACCCCTGCTCCCCTCTCCTGTCTCATCTCGCTACACTCCCCATCTCGCTCTTTGCTGTCCAACAATGATGAGCTATTTAAAGCTTCCTGAACAAGTCACGCTGTTCTCTCTGCCTAGAAATCCCTCCCCAACCCAAGCCCCCACCTTGCCTTCTCTGCCTACCTCTTCCACTCTATCACTCCCTCCTCCATGCTCTTTCTGTACAGTCATGCACTGCATAACAATGATTCGGTCAATGACAGACCACATGTACAATGCTGGTCCCATAAGATTAGTACCATATAGCCTAGGTGTGTAGTAGCCTATACCTTCTAGGTTTGTGTAAATGCACTCTATGATGTTCATACAATGATGAAACTACCTAGCAACACATTTCTCAGAACACATCCCCATCATTAAGTGACGCATGACTGGACTCTACTTTTGTGTATAAACAATGTATTTTGATTTCACTGTGATGATGGAGAAAGAAGGCAGAGAGAGCCTTCTTCATATTGCTCATCACCATAAACTCAGTACTAATAGTAACTAGTGGAATTCACTCACTATTGAATGAGTGGATTGAAATGAGGGAAATAAATTAGCCCCAAGAATGATCTAAGGGGAAGCTTAAACTCAAGAATAAAAAATAATATATGTATATATTAAGCATATATATAAACATAAAAATATGTATTAAGCATTCCAGAAAGATTAAATTGGGTAAGATAAAAACTTGTGAAATAAGGTCTCTTTTTCCTTTTGGTTGAAAGTGAAACACATACATTTATCACATCCTTAAGAAATGGGCTTAGTATAGTAGAAAGTACAGTTATGAGAAAATGGTTTTAATTCTACTTTGTATATTACTGTACTTCTAATTCATGTCCTCATTCGATTTTACTACCATGTTTGATAGCCCCTAGTACTAAGAAGCAGTACAGCATAATATCAAGAGCATGGACTTCAAAGCAAGACTGCCTGTGTTATTTTGGGTAAGTTACTTAACCACTCTGTGCTTTGGTTTCCTCATCTGTAAAATGAAAATAATAATATCTACCTCACAGGGTTGTTTGAGGATTAACTGTCAATAAACTATATTTCATCAATTCACATTTATTCACATTTAACAGTTCTGAAGTCAAAACGCATTTTTTAATCAATGAAATATCACAGATTAATTGGCAGCGGGTTTTTTTTTTTTTAATGGTACATAAAGTAATGGCTTACAATTACTGGCAGCTGAGAGTCAATGAAATTCAATTAATAAAATGTTTAGAATGGTTTTTGGCACAAAGTAAGTGCTACATAAGTATTTGCTATTGTTACTATCCAGGACTGCTGGTTGACATCATCAATGTTCATTCACACAATTTTTAAATGACCTTTCTCAACATTACTTCAAAATCTTTACCTGGAAATTCATGATGTTATTGAAGGTTCTGGCTGAGGTCCCCTCAGTGAATGGGGACCTTCCATAAACCATCTCATAAGCTATGACTCCCACCGACCACCAGTCACAGCCTAGGCTGTAGACGCCTTTTCCATCCCCGTTCATCACAGTCAGTACTTCAGGGGCCATGTAATCTGGGGTCCCGACTGGGAGTCTGGCACTCACCTGGAAACCCACAAATAAAATGAACACAGCAAACTTTCAATTATCCTCAAATAGATTGTCAACAGCCACATTTCAGACACAAGCTGATTTGCCACTGATTACTATTCTCCCAGGCACTTAAACCTTCTGTCAAGTGGCACACCATCAGGAAATGCAAACGATTTACTAATTAGAAAAAAAAAAGAACATAATATAATCCAAAGGCAAAGGGGCAAGTGTTGTTGCTAATATACACCCTTTGGTTACACAAATGAGAGTTCCATATATACCTGGAATGGAATGTGTCTTTCCTGATACATTACTGATATGAAAAAAGTCTCTTACTTATGAAAACAGTAAAATGATAATAAATCCCAAAGATGAATCTCTAAGATCAATCTACCCATTATTGAAAATCTGGCAGCTAGCTGGCAACACAATATTACAAACGTTTCAATATTTGGAATCAAGATTCTACTTCGGCCTACCCACAGGGCAAGGCATGATAAACAACTTACACCAAGGGCCAAATGTTAATGAGTTCCTTTTGCTCAACCCCGACTCCTGTTCCTGTGGTTTCCTCCCCACTATTCAGAAATCCAGGGCCTTCCCATTGAATGGCGCCCAAGCACCTGACCCTAGCAAAGAAAGATTAGGACATGTAGGAGCTTTTTATGAAGCTAAATACATTCCATTTAAAGAACTGTCCTTTTTTTCTGAGAATTTGTCCTTCTGACTGTTTTAGTGTTTGCATGCCTTTTGTTTCCTGAAATGATGCTGATGAAAGAAATAAGTTTTCCATCCCTCATCTCAACCTCTCACTAGGCAACCTAGTAAGCTGGCAACCTTTTCGCCTTCAAGATTGTTTTGAAGTTTCACTGAGGCATAAAATTTGAAGTCTAACGATCATCTCTCTAACTTCTTCCCCATCAAAACAGAGAGGGCCTGATGTTAGTCATATACTGTGTTGACCAGTTGCCCAATAACCCTGCATCTAAAAAGGCTTCTCACACGTCGGCAGTTACATAGTGCAAAAGAACTTTCTCCCCATTAAAGGCTGCTACGGGCCCCTGAGTGAGCCGAGAGATTTTATAGGTATGGCCACACATTTTTAAGGCTGGGCTTTATATAAAGAAAGTCAATTTGCTTTGCTTTGATTTGATTGGGGATTGAGAGGAAAGTGAATGTTTATAGAGGACATTATGATGTCTCCTTTCCCAGTGATGAAGACCCCAGACCTTCCAGTCTGTAACTTTAACCTTTTCCATTCCTCTGCCCCAAAGACCATTGTTATAGGAAACAAACTCATTTTCCCTACTCCCTTTTTTCTTTTCACCCCTTTACTGAGGCCCACCGTAGGTTCTTCCAAACCCTAAACCCAGAAAGCAGTGTGACACTGTTATTCCTGACACAGTCATCCACTGCTTTGGGCAGTAGGATTTCCACTGCAAATTTCCACTTGGGAAAGCTAGATGGTCACACTACCCAGGAAACCCACAGGCAGGTCTGTGTTGATGGACAAAAGTGGGGAGAAAGGAGAAAATATTTGGCCCAAGACAGAACAACAGGGCACCTTAAACTTGAGGAACTAAAAGTAGCTTAAGTCAAGGGGAAGTCTTGACGTCAGGAAGCCTGAGCCACCTCATCTGTCTTTTCATCTGTGTATAAATGTTAATGAGCTCGGCACAGGATTAAGATTCAACTCCAGGGTTTTGGTAAAAACCCTCAATACTGACAATGGGCAATAGATATTTTTTAAATGACAAAATAAGAGGAAAAAAGCTCTAACATCCCAGTTTGACTAGGTATTGGTAATGCCACTGTACGCTGATTAAACGCTTACCCTTTATGCCTAATTACCTTGCAGAACTATTAATACACAATCATCAAATACGCATCATTTGCACTTGCTGGATTTTATCACCACACTAGATTGTTTGAGAATATTCAGTTCCTGTTTGCAGCCACAGGGCTTGGTTCCTTGTTGACAACCTTGAAAGGAACTTGACTAGGTCATGTTTATCAGCATGACCTGGCAAAGGGTATAAACTGTCAATGCCTCATTTTCAAACTAACGATTAGATTTATCAAAGGGAGTCCGATAACTCCCCAACTAATTCTTGCCCCTTAACAGATATGTGCTGATACACATTTACATCTAATCATTTTGTAATTTTATAAATTTGAAAGAAAAATACTCCCTAGCTTGCTTTTACATCTCCTACTATAGTACTTAACACTAATTAACAAAGGTTTCATTGACAACTTAATGACTGCTAAATTTCCATTAGTTCCTGACCTCTAAGCACATTAAACCTGCTCAACACGTAATCTCACACATCCTGATAAGGATTTTGCAAGATGCTTTCACTCTCCTCTGGTGACAATTCACAGCCAGCTAATCTGAGTAGGCTATTAAAAGCGGAGCCCTGCGCTAGAAGCCCTGCCTGCCCGCAGTACATCATCTGACAAGTTTTACTAAACTTTAGTCAACTTTCACTGTATTGGCAGGCAAGAAAATAAACCAGTTCAGCAGAAGACAGTAAGAAAATGATGAGGAGACAGAACAGTCAGTCATATTTTGGGAGATAGAGAGGTTAAGAAAAGAGAAAGAAAGAAAAGGATTAATTTAGCAGATTCCTTTACAAGCAGAAAGCAGAGAAGAAAGTAAGAAAACCACTGCCTTCCTCCTCCCCATCCCTTTCTCAAAAAATGTTTAAACATAGAACCATTTCAACCTGCCTTTCCCCATCTAGCTGCCCAGGGCATAAACACACACTCGCAGAAGCAAGGGGGAAAAAAATTCTTACTATGTTGCTCCTCGTGTGGAAAATAAAATCTTTCACTCCTATAGAAATCTCAAAAAAGGCTATCTCCTATGGTTTCCAACTGCTAAATGGGGCTGATTATCACATAACATGCTACAATGCTCTTTATTTACAGTCTCCTTACAATTGTTCTTGTGAGCCCTGAATGAGACAGGTTGAAACTGTTAACCACTTGCCATTCTTTGAGATTCTAATAAGGTGAAGTGGATGACCTGAGTCACACAGCAGGTCTATCCAAACCTCCAGGCAGCAAAGTCCACCTGTGTTTCCTAAGGAAAATACTCCAAAGCAACATTCTCACTAAGAAGGGAAACACAGACGATGGAAGATGGAAAACTCAACAGATCTAAGATTCACAAATATCCAAAATACATAAATAATATTTGGGAGCGGTAAGGAAAAGGACTAATTGATTTGGAGTAACATACATTAATTTCTGTAAATGTGAATTCTGTTTTATATACTAAATTTTGAGTACAAAAAATATTTAGAACATACTTTAGGTCTTAAAATATTCTATTTAAAAGAAACACATGTTGAATCAACACCATTCAGCAAAAATATCCCCCCAAAATGTATAATTCTATATCCATTTTTATTTTATCTAGATTGCAGGTTAGTGGTCTTCTACAATAAAAGGGCCTTTGCACTTAAAATAACGCCAAAAATACCCTTCTTATCTGCTTGTCACATTCTGGCCCTATAAGCACAAAGTTCTGGAGAAGCGATTCTCTCTCCAAGAGGAGAGGAGGTACAATATTCTCAAGTGTGTAGGACTGAGCACCATATCTCCTTGACCAAAATAATCAGGGGTTGAGTGTTGAGCTGCAAAAAACCTGAGTGCCTCCAGGAGGCTCCCCACCCGAAGTGAATGCTGCTACAGTTAGAAGAACTGAAAAGGGCATTTTGAAGCACTGAAAAATAGAAATCTGAAATGAATAGGAGTCCTGTCTCCACCAAGGGCCCTGAAGAGAGGGACTCCAGATACAGAGAGAGGGCCTTACTCTTTATTCCCATTTATTTAGCAAGCAGTGACATTGGATCATAATCTAGTCTCCCAAAGTAGGTTCTCTTACTGCAAATACATATTGATGGCTCTAATTAACAAGCTTTCTGATGCTTCTCAATCTACTGCAGTGGTTCTCAACTGGAAATGCTTTTGTCCCCCAGGGAACATCTGGCAGTGTCTGGAGATATTTCTGGTTGTCACAACTGGAGGGGAAGGTGCTATTGGCATCTAGTGGATAGAGGCCAGGGATGCAGCTTCACATCCCATAACGACAGCCCCCCCACAACAAAGAATTATCCAGACCAAAATGTCAATGGTGCCATGTACCTATGCTTCAGTTATTATCAGATTATGTACCCAGGCTTCAATTTATTTCTGGATGCACAAGTTTATTAAGGTCACTAATGCAACATATAAGTTTTTGAACCCTAGGTGATAAAACTTTCGCATTATTTAACTTTTTTTCTGTGCTTTATTCTACAAAATTCAATGCCTAAGTTTTCGTGCCTATTTCTGAATTGTACATAATTGTTAAACATAAAATGCTTTGACTCTATAATCTAATTCTTAATGTAATGATCAAGAGGAAAAGATTATAAGAACATAATCTGGAAAAAAAAAAAAACAGTACTGAGATTGAGAAACCCTGACCTTGCACCCGCATACGGAGCCTGAATACCAAGTAAATTATCTCAAGAAGGCCTCAGGTCTGCAGAACACAGAGGCCGCACCCTACAGTGCACGGAGTTACCAAAACTCCAAGCCTTTTCCTAATATCAACCTAATAATACCCACCTTTCCTCCAAGAAACTTGAGAAAAAATGGCAGTTTTACATATTGCCCTTTATAAAGACTTAACTCTCAGAGCCAGGGGCCATTTTGCAGAGCAGCCTCTCCAACTTCTTAATTTATGCATTTTAACTAGAATCAGTATTTTTTAGAGAAAGAATAAAAGGCCAGGTTGCTAAGGATTTGTCCAGGTCACCAAGTGGTTCAGTTGTGAAATTAGTCTTAAAATGTAAGTCATTTTTCTCTTAGACCTTCCATTTTTCGCACAGTTAACTTGCAAATTCACATTTTAGTATGTACCAACTTTATCAGATTTTTACTTTGTCATCTTTTTCCTAAAGTAGTCTCACTCTTGATTTCAATAGCCGCCTCTTGTCTTCCTAATTGGAACATGAAATACAGCTTAATTTTTACCAGAGGTTCAGGTCTCAGAATTGACATTTTGAGCACTTGGTTCTTAACACTTAAGGATATTTGGTCTAAATGCTCCGGTGATTAATTTCAATTTTGCTGCATAGGAAATAGAGGATATCAGATAAATAAGGTTACTTTTCGTCAAAATATTTTAAAGTAAAAAAGATAAGGTAGCAGAAGACAATCTGCAACAAGCAAGGAAAATGAAGGAAAGAACAAAATAAGCATTTTCCCTTCTTTTTAACCAAACTATAAACATATTCCTAAAAATATCTTGTGGGGTATTAGCGAGTATCATACATAAAAGGGTGCCAAGACCAAGTAAGTCTGGGAAATAGCTCTGTGCCCCTACCCCTACTTCCACCCCCGGAGAAATCATTTCATACACTAGGAGATGAAGACCTCAAAACGACACTCAACATTATCCCATATTTTCCAAACTTCTGAGGACCTCAGAATAATTTGTAGCATAACCTCTATTAAGCTATCTTATTACATCTTGTTACCATTTTATTTGAGTTCATTTTAGCAGCTGATCCAAAATCCACCAGCTTGATGTGTCCCATTCGGTCAATGAGAATGTTCTCAGGCTTGATGTCTCTGTAAGAAAATCAGGGCCACAAATTAGTGTTGTCTTCTCCATGCCAATCAGCAAGCAACTGCTAACCTAGGATATTGATTCGGCCAAAATGTTAGTGTCTGTTTTCTGCTATACAGACCCACTGACGGACATAAATAACAGACAAACATTTCATAAAACAAATTTAAGTTAAAAAAAAAAGAAGAAGAGGAAAGCAATGAAGGAAGGGAAGGAGGGGAGAGACAGGAAGGAAGGAAGCAAGGAAGGGACAGAGGGAAGCAGGGATAGAGAGGGAAGAAGAGAAGGAAAGGGAACAAACACATGTTGTTAGATGGATTAGTTCTCCTAGAGACACACATTTTACATTAGGTAAACTAAGGCCACAAGAAGCTCTGGGACTTGTCCAAGGTCAGGCAGCTAATCACTGGAAAAGCTGAGACTCTATTCCAGATTTCGTGATTCCTGGTCTATTGTTCCATTCCCACAACATCCTCAGATCTACATAAAACATCAGATGAGTGAGGATGCAAAGAAACACTTTTTGACAGAGGATTTTGTGGAACTCCTTTGTAAATTACTACTGGGCGAGGTCAGAAGTACAACTCCATGGTCTTCTGTTCCTATGTGGTATGCCAGTTCTTCTGCAAATCAAACCTGCTTTTCCCACCATATAACCCAAAGAACCCATGCAAGAGTTCCCAGTCTTATTAGCAAACTTAAGAATGTTACAATTCTAGATCCATTTCACTGTTGAATGGGTAAGCTGAAACGTCTGCCATTCTGAAAAATTTACTTTCAGCCAGTTTAAGTAAAGACTGCCTAAAAACTGGATGGAGCATTCTTTTGATGTTGAAATCACGCACCCATTCACTCTGTTGTAGGAACTCTTAGGCGATGCAGGTAAATTCTCAGTATACTCACTTACCGATGTACATATCCCATCTGATGAACGCTGTGAACAGCCAAAATCAGTTCAGCTAGGTAAAACTGAATCATATTTTCATCTAATTGGTCCTCATATCTATTCAAAAGTGACAGCAAGTCCCCTCCAGGCTGATATTCCATGACCTGTATAGAATGCAAAGGCATTAATTCTTCATATACTCAAAAAAAGGAAATGTCTCAATTAGATCCTCAAATACTGCCTGACGTGTTATAATTACAATGTCTCCACAAAGCTATGAAGATATGTGAGAGTATTGCAAGTCACGTAGGATGAGGTCCCTGCCCTAAGGAAATTACATCCGTTACCCAAGAGACCCAATATAATCAAAGAATAGTCTCAGACACCAAGCCCAATGTTTGCGAGGAAAGCTTGAAACATTGAATTAAATCTACCCACTGACCCACCTGCCCAAGGCGACACCCCAGACACTCCCTGGGATTAGGCATACTGCATAGACGGAAATTCCTGGAGGGCAACAAACCCTCTTGCGTCCTTTTTGCATTCCCCTCAGCACCCAGCAGAACATAGGAGGTGTGCACTAAACGTGATACAATCTTTTCCCTTAACAGTCAGTGTGGAAGGCAACCTGACCATCTCTATTACAAATTTAAATATGAACATATACCCTTTGACCTAGTAATTCCACTTCTGACTATTTATTTTACAGGAACTTATAATAGTTTGTAGATAGACAAATAGATTCACTGCAGCCCTGTTTATAACACAGAAAAAAAACCTTGGAAATGACCCAAATATCCACCACTAAGAGACTGCTAAAATATGATATATCTAAACAAAGGGATAAGATGCAGATATTAAAAATAAATAGACTTGATCTATTCCTACTGCCATAGAAACTGTCCATGAAAATATACAGTGACATCCTATACAAGATAAAGTACAACCCCTTTTTGGATTAAAAAAGAAAACAAACTACTACATTTGTTAGTACATATATATATATATATATATAGGGAAAAAAATCTGGAAGAATTGAAAATACAGCCTCGGGGCCAGCTCCGTGGCCGAGTGGTTAAGTTCACGCTCTCCGCTGCGGCGGCCCAGGGTTCGGATCCTGGGCGCGGACATGGCACCGCTCGTCAGGCTACGCTGAGGCGGCGTCCCACATCCCACAACTAGAAGGACCTGCAACTAAGATACACAACTGTGTACGGGGGGGTGGGTTGGAGAGATAAAGCAGGAAAAAAAAAAAAGATTGGCATCAGTTGTTAGCCCAGGTGCAAAAAATACAGCCTCGGGTAAAATGTTTGACTAAAAGAAATTTTTCATCCCAAGGAACTGAAATCATTCCTCCTTTTGATGATACCAAGTGTCATATTCTCGAGTCAACATGCAGCTTTGAGGTCAATTTGCCTGGGTTGTTTCAGGCTGGTGACTTCACCTCTTTGCCTTCCAGTTTCAGCCTTTGGAAAACAAGAAGACTAATTTCATTGCAGCACTGAGCCTGGCACCAACCAGGTCCTCCACTACCCCTCAAGTCCTCTCCTTTCCCTCCCTTTACCGCCTGATCCTCTCTGCTCTGGCTGGGAGAGGCTGGGACCATTTTGAGCATCTCTGCAGCCATGTCAACCCTTACTGAATTCTCCTGTCCTTTGCTCTGATTTCCCATTTTATGAGCCTCACTATAAATATCTTTTGTTCTTAAATGTCTCAAATCCTTTCTGGAAAGAGGCAAGACCTGAATGAATGGCTTAAACAAAACACTAAATCTCTCAAACTACTGCATTCCAGAAGCCAGCACTGGGATGTGAATTTTCTCCATCCCCCTCCATACTCCTGTTTGCTTTTAGTCCAGAATTAGAAGAAAGCTCTAGTCAAGTCAGACGTGGAGCATCTGCACATATCCCCCAGAGAACGCAGGCTGGTCTAGTCAAGACTCCGTCCAGATCAGCTCAACCCCACACCAGAGACCCCAAAGGAGCCAGTAACTTGCATGTCCTCCTGGAAGGCTCCATGTCACCTGGGAGTCTCGCTCGTTCACTTGGAATCTTACATATAGCAGATACTTAACGAGATATTGGACAATTTGAAGGGTAAGGTTCCATTTGCACTGAAATTGCTGGAAAAAATTGATTTATGAACTAACAAGAACACCAACACTTAGAAGGGGTGGCAGCTAAAACACAGACTTTATTTCCCCGAAATTCACAGCAGAAATGAGCTACTTGTCCCAGTCCTAAACTGCAACCTGGCACCACCTGGCAGCCTATAGTTCACCCACTCATCTCAACCTGGTTCTCCACGGGCCTCGGGTATGTGGGTGAATGTGAATTTTTACGTCTGTTTTAAATATATATTGCCATTAAAAAGGTCTTAAACATCCAAAAAAAATTCACAGATAATAACAGAAGTACTCACACTTTTAGAACCGAAATGTCTTAAAATAAGAACAATGCATATTTATGACGACACGTCGCAGTTATAAATTTTCTAACCTGGCTCTATTAAAGACATGAAGAAACAGAACAGCTTGTAAGTTCAAGGATAAGAAAGTCAAACACATAGCAGCCACTGGCAACTTTTAAGAGCTCACAAACTGACCACTATTTAGTACTTGGCAGCTACTCCTGAAGATTCTATTTGTAATGACCAGGAAAGTACTTCAGAAAATAAGAACCATCTCTTAGGCAAAAAGATATGTATTCTTTGCTCCTATTCAGAAGATCCAATTTCCTGAGCTGGAAATCACCACCCAAACTAGATTAGTCCTTTCTACGAGTCAAATAACATTTCATTTCTTCAAAACCAGGGCTGATTGAGAAGACAAGCAATAAAAATTACAACAGCTGCTCGACAGCATGCTCCACAACACGAGGCCAAAATAGACATACGAAATGACAAACCTTTAAATAGACTGGGTCCTTATCAAAGAAACTAATCAAACTTGACCTACCAACACGATTCCATATTACTTTACTAAAAATTCCAACTGTGCACCATCAGGAGAACTTAGTTTGGCCATTTATTGAGCAAATTTGGCTATCCCAAGATGTTACCCCTATCCTGAAACCATCCTACCAGAGGATAGTTGCTCATTCTGGTATGAATGGAGCTAGCCCATTGGTAAGATGACTTCTGTGTGGCCAACCCAAGCTTAATCAACCATCTCGCTGTTGAGCTTAGAGATACAATAAAGAACCAGGACGTGGGCACTTTCAGAAAACACTTTTGGACTTTTAAAAATGGTACAAAACCAAGAGGTGCCAAAAGCATCATCAGAAGTCACAAACTGAGACTCTTCAAGTCTTCACACCGGAAGACCTACTGTGAACCAAAGACAAAGGTCAGCAGAACTCTACGAAGATTAAGGTCAACGTCGCCCCTAAGGCTGTGCCAGACGGTCCATTCACAGAATCTGGTTTTGTCCAAAACTGTGACTCTGTCCCTGACTTTTACCACTCAGAGATGCCCAGCGAGGCTCTGATCCCCAAAACATGTGGCTTCTAACCTAATTAGACTGTAAGCCCTCTGGGGCAGGACTTCCCAAACCTGCCTGCCCACCAGGATCACCTAGGGAAGCACTTTTTTTAAATGGATAAAACACAATCATCCAAATAAATATTTGAGTGCCTACTAGGTGCCATACATTGTTCTAGATTAGGAAAATAGCAGTGACTAAAACAGACAAAAATCCCTGCCTTCACAGAGCTGGAATTCTAGTGGAATGAAAAAGAATTTAAAAAAAAATAATTAAGCAATATGAAAGGATAACGTCTGTCTCCTTTGCATCCTACCCATCAAGGGAGCTTGTTAAAACCCAAACCCAGACGTCAATAGTCAAGCTCCATGGGTGGGGTCCAGGAATCTGCATTTTTAAGGAGCTACAGGGATGATTCTGATGCGGCCAGCCCAGCACCATATTGAGACCCGCTGCTGCTGAGGTTGTGGCACCAATGGGCTCCCTACTCCATCCAAATGAAAAGTTTCTACAGCAGAGGAACCCTTGTATAAAACCTGGCCTTAATACAGGCATCATTTCTGCTGCTTACATTTTTTCAATGACTACTTGGAGCCTTTTTGCATATCAAAACAAGATCACTGACAAGGGCTGGAAAATAATCCACCCACCAGAATGGAAGCAACGATCTTCCATCCTTCCAAGGACGGGAGATGTCCCTGCATGCAATGAACAGCTGCAGGTCAGCCAAATGGTGATCAGCAAGGCATGGTAATCAAAGGCCGGGGAGAAGGGAGGAGGAAAAAGAGCCCTACAGTGAAACAGCCCTAAACAATGTGACAACCCTGCGGATGGCAGAGAAAGCACAGCAGCTGACAGACGAGCCTGGCTTGGAGCTATAATGGACTTGCTCTTTTAAAGCAAAGACGTTCAGGCCAACAGAGACAGACCCTTCTGATGGCAGCAGCTGCAGATGCTAATTAAAGGGCAAATCTTACATGTGTTTGGTTTGGAAGGAGCGGCTGCTTCTCTTTTGGTGTTTGCATCTATACCCCAAGTACTGGGATGGCAATTCCCCTCAGTTGTGTTGAGTTTGAAACAATAGGCAAACGTGTGTGTGTATGTGCGTGTGCATGCATGAATACATTTGCACATGCACATACATGCAAGTTTGCATGCACAAGCATGCATGTGTGGGGGGTGGGAATATTTAATAGTTCTTTAGTACTCTATTCCAATTTGCATAGGGCGCCATTAGAAGCACGCGGTGCTGGCCACCTCTTAGAAATGTGTCCTTGAAATGCTTGTACTACAATCAGCATGAGTGAAAGTACCATGAAAATGTAATGACGCTAGCGGCATCATTATCCGCTCTGCCCAGTGTTCCTGAGCTTTGATGTGGGGGAGGAGGCAAGGAATCCTCTAAGCAGAGTGACCCCTAGCAGAGACCCTAAATTATTCTTCTTGAAGGACAAGGTGACCAAGTGAAAAGGCCCACTATTCCAGAAAATATGAATCCTAGCCTGATTCATCCATCTATTCAAAAAATCCTCACTGAGCACTGAATCATCCAGGGTCTTGGCAAGAAACAGGCAGCACATTCAAACTAGGTAATCGAGGACATTAATTAATGAAAGGCCTATTTACAAAGGTGTGGGTAAGGTTAAAGGAAATAAACATTGGATCGTGAAGCATCCCAGGGCT